CCTCTCTCTCTCTCTCTCTCTCTCTCTCTCTTACACACACACTCACACACACACGTACAGTATAAATCCCCTCCCTGGTATCAGATATCATGTATCCTGAGTCGATGGACTAATTACACAGTAATGAGACCAATCAAGAGTTAAAACAGTGGAAAACCTCAGCTCTAATGTTCTAATCCTGCTTCAAGGCTCCACATATCCTTCTTTATGATGTTAAATGGCCCCCACCGGACCCTTACTGAGGAACAAGGACGACCACAGTCCGCTCTGAGGAGTGAGGGGGCTGGAAGTGTATGTGTGTGTGTGTGTGATCTGAGACTATGGAAGAAAAATACAGCTACAGGGGTCAACCGTGTCTTCAGAGGTATTAGGGTCTGGAGTGTATGTTCTCCTGCTGGGTTTATTTGTCAGTCAGTGAAGATCAGTGACCACACGTGACTTGAGGCAGTAGGTACAGAGTAGTTAAAGTACAGGCTGGAGACATGGGAGTGTTAGTTTGTGCAGTCCACACCTTTCTGACGAGTGGAAAACGTGATCACATCTACTAATTTAGGAAGCAAACTTGTCATATTCATTATTTTAATGTAACTCGAGTCATTTTCCAGTTGACCCAGCTTTAATTAAGGAAGAAAGTGCAGGCCATATTTGTACAATTTTTTTAGAAGAATATTCAGGAAGATTTGGAGACAGAAACAGCAAAACCTAGAGACCAGAGACCGTGCTGAGTCCAGGACTTGGTATTTGTCTGAATCCCCAAATACTCAGTTTGGACTTTAGTCACTCTACTGTACTTGGACTTTAAAGTTTAGGAACTTGAATTCATTGTCTCTGTGAGTCCGACGAGACTCCAAAACCCAGGAACTCAAACCCAGTCAAAGTCTAGACGTTGACTGTAAGCTTAAGGAACTTAATTATTACAGTTAAACCAGATAGTTTTCTCCATTTTATACAGCTTACCTGAAAATAATACTCGTATTTATCAACCCAAAACTGCTCTTTGAAAAAGCAACTTTATTATTTATTATTTTAGATTTTAACAGTGCCATATAATATACTAATAAAATAAGTTTGATTTTTAAATGGTAACTGAAGGCAAACAAAAAATAAACTCCAACCCATTTTTTCCTAAATTCCATATGATTTACTTTTAATATGTTTTAACTGAAGGACATGTTATTGCATTTTAGAATATGTTAGTTCAATAAAACAATCAAAATATAAGTATAACTAGCTAAATTAGCAATTAGCAATTGTTTGCACTTACAGCCTAGATATAATATATTTTTAAATTGTTATTATTTTAACCCATTTAATTAATTAAGCAGTAAACACGTTAAATAAAAATATTTTTATAAGAATAACAAGAGTTAAAATAATGCTGTACGCAGGTTCCATGCACGAAATGATTTTTTTTCCTTAAGGCTTTAAATCCAAACATCAACGCCAACACCTTATGAAATCCAGACAAAGCGGGGTTGATAATGACGTAATGTATATCCTGAGCCAATCAGAGCTCACTGCGTGGAGGACGAAACACCTGTGTGTCTGTTAGAGAAGAGAGAGAAGGGGCGGGAGGGGGGCAGAAACAAGCCTGAGGTGAAGCCAGTGTCGACGTCAACACTTTTCCGTAGGATTTGATATGAGCCTGATAATAGGCTTCAAACAGGGAGAAACACACACACACACACATACACTCAACACCAGGTGACAACACCAGGGAGAGGTGACAATAAGGACAAGAAATACATTTTTTATTTTATGATTTCGTCTTTATTGGGTCACAAAATGGGTAAAAATCAATTGCGTTCAAATTTTAAAAAATACTCCGAAATAAAGTTCAGCCATTTTAGTCGGATTCACTGGTGTGTGGATTTGGAATGGATCGAATTACTGTTTATATTTATTTTATATGATTTCAAAGGGGATTACACTTACTGTTTTTTTTGTTTTGTTTTTGTTTGTTTTGTTTTTTTAGATTAGATTTGAATATACATTTTTTCTAAACTACACTTTTTTTGTTTGTTTCTTTTTAAATTTATTTAGTAATATATTTATTCATTGATTTATTTTGCCCTAAGGTAGAATAGGTAATAATTTGTAAATTTAATCAACAGGTTGAAAACATTTCAGAGCACTTTCTCAAAAATCAGTTATGAGATTAGACATACTTTTCATTTAAAAAATAGATTTTGATTTTAGACCCATTACGACTTTCTTAGAAACCGTATTTTTTTTGATTTATTCATTTATTTATTTATTTATTTTATTTTTTGAGTTATTATATCCGTGGTTTCATCTTACTAACTTCTGGCTACTAAAAACGTAGTGTACTAAATATATTCACACTTTTCATATGAGGTAAATATTCCAACTCGGTATTACTTTTTCGTATGTATTTTTGTGAAGTTGTTGGAAAAACATCCATTGTCCAGTTTATTCTGGAGCCTCGTCACTGCTCACACCTTGGTCATGGCAGCGTCGCCTCTGTGTCATGTTCTACTGCGGGGCGTTTACAGCTGTTTAAATTCATAACACGGGCCACAGACACAGACACAGACTCACTGCTGCTGCTGCGGCTGCTGCTGCTGCTGCTGCTGCTGCTGCTGCTGTAACACAGGCCTCAGTGTTTATGTCTAACCTGCACATGAATGTCGTACTTTTGGACAAACCGTTGGAGCATTTCAAACATATTATTATTATTAGTATTATTAAAGGGTAGCACTGGAGTTTCTGCAGATATATCTGCGCCACAGTATAATTTCAGGGGAATTACCTCCGAGAAGTCAAGTATAAAAAATATTCCCCAATAAAAATTGACGTGAAGGACGAATTTTTGAAACAAACACAGTCGAAAACTGTTGAGAGTATTTTTTTATTATTATTTCAAATATAAAATCACACTTGAAAATGCAAATACTGGAATAAAATTACCACCTTTGTATTCTTCCATGGAGATGAACGGTGATGATCACTGTCATCTACGCTGCTGCTGCTGCTGCTGCTGCTGCTGCTGCTCCTGCCTCCTGCACTGTAACAAATTCCATTTTCAGGATTATTATTATTGCAGTTGTTGCATTTGTCATCACCTGCTTCCTCTGCTGCTTCAGTGTCGGAGGCTCTCGGAGAATCAGCTCCAGCTCCAGCTCTGCGGGTCTCCGTGAATTAATTTGGTGATTAATGAGGGACCGACTGACCTTTATACCGACGTGGGCGTTTCCTCGCGGTTCCATTTGATTTGATGGAGCTCCAGGACGATGACACCAAACACCAGCAACATTTGGCCCTAAAGGTGACCAATGATATTTAATAACGAACCGGGGGCAACGCTGATGAATTGTTCCGTTGGGGGGAGGTTAATGTTATGAAGAAGAAAAAAATAATAGTCTTTGAAGGGAGTATTTTTTTGCATGAGAGGGATTATGGTGATGTAAGGATGAAAAGACGAAGCAAATCATCCAATTAAGTCTCTCCATGAAGTGGTGATGGATGATGTCAGCTGCCCTGCTTCTAATTAACGTATAAATTAAGAGAGAGAGGAGGAGAAAAAACTCAGAGCCTTTAAAGCTCATTGATCCCTTTTTTATTCACTCAGACTTCATCTGAGGATTAATAATCTACAGCAGGGTCAGGGCAGGGTTATTTTTCAAAGGGTAAAATTACAACAAACAAAAAAAAATCCAGAGGAAGGTTTCATTTTTCTTGAACACAAACTCGACCCAAGGCCTGGAAAGACATTTATGTTGAACATAATAAAATGATGGAAATATACAATATTTTTATATACTTTTACAGAGTCGAAATAGTGCAGAATTATATATAACCTACAAATTAATTTTGGTGTTTCTGACGGTAAACATTTTTAAATACATTTGTGAATAGTAGTTTTTTTTTTCTGTTTGCCAACTGCGCCGAATTCAAGACTTAAAATAAAAAATAAAAAAAATAAATCTCGCTCCAAGGTCTGCTTCTTATTCCCTTATTAAATATTATCTAAATTCTGTCATTAAACGTCAAACCCCGTCAGAATCATTTTACTGCTCGGGTTTTTGTACCTGCTCCCTTCACTCAGGTTAAAAAAAAGAAAAGAAACGAACGTGCGCTCCTGTTCCCAAATTCCCTAAACTGAGTTTCTTCCCGCAAACTCGTGTACTGCTCGTTATGGAGAAATATATATTCAAAGCAGCCACCGAGGCAGGGACCTCCAAGGCTGCTAATAGAATTTCCTGCTGTTTTATAACTCTGTCCCTAAACCAATGTCACCATATGCTGCTCTTGGCACCAGGATCTCCGCAGTGGCTTCCTGAGCGCCTGCTTTTATCCAAATCGGATTTTATTGAAAAAGAAAAAAATATATATTCTACATATGGTACAATTATTTATGGCATTTATTTCTGCTATGAGAATGAAAGGTTCCATGTTATTATCCAAACACTGGATTATATGTACATTATTTTATTATTATTTTATTTCGTTTAAGTCTCAAAAAATGTTTAGATCCACCGTGCGCAAAATGTTAGGGTTGTTTTTTGTTTTTGTTTTTTTTTTGTTTGTTTGTTTGTTTGGGGTTTTTTTCTTTTTTTGGTAAAAAATAAAAAATGCTGGTTTCGTTCTGGCTGTATGTCAAGAATAACCTTAACGCTGTTGCCCAAGTGGCACAAAAAAACCACATGCGCAAAATAAAAATGGTTTTGTGTGAGTGAAGAAAAAAACGTACCTGCTGCTTTTGTCCGTGCCAGACTCGGCCAACTTCAATTATCCTCTTGTCTTTAAAAGAATAAATAAAATCACATTCTCCCACCTCAGACACCGAGCCCGGCGTCACCTTTATTAGACGCTAGTTTCACGCTGTAGCGCATTAAATTACACTGTAACACTGGGATTTTATACCTGCACGCTCGTGTGGACGCACAGATGCAGACCAAGAAAGGAGAGGAGGTATGAATGGAAAACCTTTACAAAATATATATATTTTTACCTACATATAATCATTTTACTGTATATTTTATATGTTTGTCTCGAGAATTCAACACTGTGTTTATTTGTACGGTAAACTCTTTAACCTAGAAAATATTTTAATAGTTTTTCAATGATATTAATCTTCATAAATCGGTGAGCGGTGTGCATATTTTAAAGCCAAATTCCTGTCAGTGTCAAACGCGCCCGTTACGCGTAACACCTCGTGCGTAATTACGCAGCCAAATGACAAACTGGATATCACGGCTGGAGGCCACCGTTGACTCCAAACTCCCCTCCCTCTAGTACTCGTGCTGCAGTGGCAGCGTTTTAATGGCCATCATCATCATCATCATCATCATCATCATCACCACCATCAGCACTCCCTTTCTAGAAGAAGCGACCAGCAGAGGGAAACACATGCATAAACATTTCGGGGGCATCTTTCTCCTCGGCACCAACAGACTCCTCCTATTCCCCACGTCCAATTAGTTATTATGGTCCGGCCCTTTAAGACGCAGCAGCGGGTCAGCAAGTAGTGTAGTGTTTCTCTAATTGAACTTCGCCCAATCAACAATAACTTGTTAGCAGTCGCTGTCGTTCTCTGTGCTGCCTCGGACAGCTTTTTTCTGCCTTTGCAGGGATTCACCCGTCCAGTCTGCGACTTCCTAAAGATCTACATGGAGCTTGGCAGAGGAACCGCGACTCTCTGAGGAAGGAAAACAGCCACAGTCCGGCTGCCTTTGCGACTCTGCGCCAGAAGAATGGTTATTTTGGAGGAAAGCTCTCAGGCGAACTAAGCTGTGCGGCAGATATCGCTCCACTTTTTCTGCAACAACACAAAAGGAAACTTCGGACGACGCGTGGTTTTGGATGAAATAATCAACCGTTTGGGTGGAAAGCGGCGACTCTTTCGGGACTGCGATGACCTCTAGTAAAGACATGAAGGCAGGTTCCGTGTTGCAGTCCAGCGGACCAGAGGAGAGGAGACGGGCTCCTCTGGACCAGCTGCCGCCGCCGGCCAACTCCAACAAGCCTTTAACGCCTTTCAGCATCGAGGATATCCTCAACAAACCCTCCGTGAAGAAGTCTGTGGCCAGTATCTGTCCGCCCAGAGTGCTAGAGAAAGTGACGGGCTCCAACTCGGCGAGGAACGGGATCACATCTCCCTCCTCGCCGCTGTGCGCGCTGGAGGAGCTGGCCAGCAAAACATTCAAGGGTCTGGAAGTCAGCGTTATCCAGGCAGCGGAAGGTAAAAACAAACAAACAAACAAAAACTTTTTTGTCTGTGAACTTTTTGATTGTAATGCACATGTTAACTAACAAACAAAAAACAACTGTTTGTTTCCGGAAGTCGGAAAGATAAGTTTCAATCTGCTCGATTTGTTGCATTGTCAGCTAAAAAAAAGTGACTTTACGTTCAGAAGTCTTTATTATTCTGCTTTAGAATTACAACATGCTGCTGCTAAAACAGTTTGCATGTTGTCAAAATATCACTTAGCTTTTGTTTACTGCATAAACTGACGTGTTGGATATACAAGCATTAAATAAATAAACCCAAATGACACGTGCATGTCGTGTGTTTTCCTTAATACTGTAAACAGGAGGCCGATATTCAGTTATTATGTTCAGATATTCTCGTTTGTAAAATAAACTAGGGAGAAGTTATTGAAATTAAATAGTTTATTTTTATCTATTCTGTGGTCCGAGGTCAGGCCTGTTTCAACAGCTTTACGGAGGGGGGATGTGGCTCTCTATGACGGCTGTCTCATTCTTCTGCTGTTTTTCTTTTCTTTTTTCTCCAACTTTTCCAAGGTCGAGAACATGTCAACGCCTTCGGCCAGCGGCAGACGTCAAAGAAGAGGAGAAAGTCCCGGACGGCCTTCACGAACCACCAGATCTACGAGTTGGAGAAGAGGTTCCTGTACCAGAAGTACCTCTCACCGGCGGACCGGGACCAGATCGCGCAGCAGCTCGGTCTCTCTAACGCCCAGGTCATCACCTGGTTCCAGAACCGCAGAGCTAAACTGAAGCGGGACCTGGAGGAGATGAAGGCGGACGTGGAGTCCCTGAAGAAGATCACTCCGCAGACGCTGCAGAAGCTCGTCACCATGGAAAACATTGATGATGCACAGGGTGGTGTTGGTGGGGCAGGGTCCGAGGCCGGGTCGCCGAGCATCTCCCCGACCTCACAAGGACACCGGGCCTTCCCCCAGTCCCCGTCCTCGTCCAGAGACCAAACCACGGATGAGTTCTCGGAGGATGACGAGGAAATCGAGGTGGACGATTGACACTGTGTGAGAGGAGACGGGGAGGCTGTGATTTTCATAAAAAAATATTTAAAACGAGAGACAGAACACTAAAGAGGGCATTTTTTTAATTTCACTTTTGCACGGATTTTGACACAATAAGGAGACATTTCTGGAAACCTTTCCCTCCTCTTCTTTCCCTTTTTTCTCTAATTTTTATTTATTCATCAGACTTTTCATCAAAAATCCTGAGGAATATCACTTTCCCATGTTCTCTCTTAACAGACAGAACTGTTGTGGTACAAGAGAGGACAAGAAAACTGTAACATTTCAAACACATTTTTCCGAACCGGGGAGGGAGATGTGCAATTGTTATGACGATGATTATAATTATTATTATTAATATTATTATTATTTTTGACATTTATTCATTTTGTCCTGCAAGGAATCGGATGTGCCAAAAATCCTCACATGAAACCCTCCAAACTTTTCCATGCACAGCAGCTCGGATTCACAGTGTCAACCCGTGATCACAGCCTTAAATTTATTTTTATTTTATCTTATTTTTATATATAAATATATAATTTAGTCCTGAGCAAAACTTCAAACCATGGGGCCTGTGCGCAAAAAAATGTGGGCATCGACTGCAAAATTCCTCATCCTACAGCTCTGAGTTTCTGTATATAGAACCTTCACATGCGATAATTTTATTGTAACATTCTATTTAATCAGCATCTATGTAAATAAAGGTTATATGGTATTTCAAAAAAGCTTCCTGCTCAATTTTTAATCGGTAAACGTGCCCAAAATAACTATATTATAAATATATATATATTTTTACTTCCCATGTGACATCTGTATTTAAAAATAGTTGTGCCCAAAGTCTGGGTCGGGGCCTACAAATGGGTGCAGGCAACAATTTTGGGGGTCAAAGTTTGCCAAATATATTTTGGACTTTATTAAAGTGTTTATTTCTGTTTATTAAAGTGTTGGTTTACCTTAGTGAGAAAATTTAAAAAATGTTAATAAATAATTTAAATAAGGGCAGTAAGAAAAAAACTCCTGGACATACAGTTCTAATGATTTTATTTTATGTTATCTCAGCTGATTCGTTCAAAAATTTGTATTTATCCAGCTTGGTGCACAATTTCAGAAAAAAACAATATGTATCCAAATATTTGAAAAAGTATTTGTATTTATACAGATTTTTAAATTTTATATAAATATATAACTAAAGTAATACCAAAGACCAACTGAAAAAAAACAGCTCTAGTATTTTATATGTACAATACGGACACAAACAAAACAATACGGGTTCATCTTTCAGATTGGGGCATTTGAAAAGGCATGAATACAAATAAAATATTCTGAGAAAGTTTGGTCCATACCTTTGAAAAGACATTTTTCATTTTAAAGAAATACATTTGAAAAATATTTCAGGAAATTTTGGGGTGATTTTCTGCACAAGTTCTGAACATTTACAAATTTTATGGGTAAAAAAAATTAAATAAGAAAATAATTAAACTATAAATTAGTGTAAGTAATTATAATATATTCTGTTTCTGGAGGAAAACTGATTTTTAGATTATTTATTAATACAGTATGACTACACATTTCGTAAGAATATTTCAAATATGATCCAAATTATTTTTCAATTAATTTCCTGATTTATTAACATTTTTTGATCAATCCAGAATTAAAACAAAATAATATTGACTTTGGCTCTGCATTAAAAAATAGTACATTCCGTCAAACCACACCGGACATATTATAGATATAATTGTATGGTTTAAGGGGGATTATTGTTAAATCAAGCCAATAAAGTAAAGAATCGCATTCCTTTTGGTGACAATAATAAAGACTTTTATTGCCCATTGGGTGAAGAAGGCACAGCAGGCCTTGAGTAAATCTCTGTAGGAATGCCACCGACATATAACAAGGCATAGATCCATCCTCAGAGGTTAACAAAACAGGATCATTGCCCCCTAGAACAGCTTCAGCGCTGCTTGGTAAAAAAAGAAAAAAAAAAAGGATAAATGGTGCCTTTTGAATGATTGACCCCTGCTTTCAGCCTCCAAGTGCCACGACTTCAATTAGCAACAGCCGTCTTTAGTTTTCGTCTCTTTATTCCCTTTATTCTCGGGACTTTGAATGCATCTTGTCACAAGAAGGTCCGGGTCTGTGTTGGGTGTTGAGAAAAGCTTGCCTCCACCCCTGCGCCATATGTTTTCTCCCTGTGCCCGCATGGACCGGCCTTTAACACAAGCTCTGGTCGACATGATTGATTAGGGTGAGGCAGCCTTTGGCTTCCAGCGAGCCGTGCGCAATAATGGCACGCATCTGCCACTCTGCACCCGGGTTTGTTTGGAAAAGAAAGAGAACAAGGCAGAGAAAACAGTATGTGTGGGAGAGGGAGAGTGTGTGTGAGAGTGTGTGTGCCTGCCATGAATAGCAAATGGGTCAGTGTGATGGTACTAATGAATAAAGCTCAATGGGAGGCAGTGGAAATGCGACGTGCTGCTGCTGCTGTTTCTGTTGTTAAACTGCTGCTGCTGCTGCTGCTGCTGACCATTTGTTTGGCGTGGGTGAGTGTTTGTGTGTTTGTGTGTTTGTGTGTGATGTAATGTAGGCTGTTTAACCTCGAGCATGTAAGATAATACGAACGCGTGTCTTTTTTAATTTAAGCTACTCAATTATATTTATAATGTAGTTATGTGATAATAATGTATTTTATTGTTATTATCACACATTTTTAGTAATAGCAGTCGTGGCTGCACCGACAGTAGTAGTGGTAGTAGTTGCTGTATTTAGAGTAGGTATTATTATTGATATTGATATTAATATTAATAATAACAATAATTCTTTAAATTAGAGTAATAAGGACGAGTCCTACTGGAAAAGACCAGGTTTATTTTTTTAGGAAATTTGGAAAATATAGAAAACAAAAGGTAATCCTATGGTTTATTATTATTATTATTATTATTATTATTCGGTTAATAATAATAATACTTTTTTTTCTGTATTTTGTTTACATGGAAAAAAAGAAGTCCCTTTATCAAAACGTCAAAACAACCGTTAACTAAACCTAAGAAGTTGGAATGATCCCTTTCCCCCTTTCCTAGTGAGACAGACCAGACTGACTCTCACAATAGAAGTAATCGGCTGGAATCGCGGAGGTTGAAAAGTCAAGCAGGGCTTTTTGGCAGCCCTGCACACTGCTGCAGTGGCAGAAGGAGCAGCACTGCAGGATGGATGGAGCCTTAAATAAAGGCTTTGCTGCTTAGGCGTGCAAGTGTAAACCACAAGCGTACAAAAGAGCAGCAAGACCACTCTCTCTGTTCTCTGGGTTTATGTACCCATGAATACAGTCTTTGTGGCACGACTGTAACACTATTATTCAGTATCGGTCCTTTAAAGATTAGTCAATTCTGTAGCATGAACATTTAAGAGCTTTTAAATATAATAATAATATTTTTTTCCTGTTTTGCATGTATATCTTACCTTACATTTATACGGTGTTGTCTTCGATTAAATAACCCTTTTCAGAGAATCAAGAAGGCCTGCTGGACTATGTGTGTTATGCTCAATTTCTCCCCAAAAAACCTTTGTCAAATTTCTCGTAAAAAGTGGAAACACGCACAACAAAAACAGCAACACAAGTAATCAGCATTAATTCTACACTAAGTAGTTCCTGTTCCCGATCGTGCGTTTTATTTTGTTACTCTAATGACTTTACATTTATTTAAAGTTTACGATTTGTGACTACCTCTAATGCAATTGTATACAGGGATCGCGGGTACACAACAGCACATGTTTGAATATGTTACAAATTGTCTTAAAAATATTCTCCCTAAAATATCCACAAATATCCATACAATTATAAAAAATAAATAAAATAACAACAAATATGGGTTTATTTTTATGATGGCAGTAGCTCTTCTGAAACACTTTGTTTCATCAGCTTTATTTGGGACCACATACACATGCCCCATTTGTACTGTATAATTTGAACAAATTTAAAGATTTAAAGCCCAGGGGTGCAGTGGAAACCAAGCTCTCCGACCTCAAACTCCTTATTTTGGAGGAAATTTATTTTCCCATCATCACTGTGGCCCTGGGGGGACGTGCTCAGGCTGTAGGAGGGTATATGTAATTTGCATCTTGCATTTATTTATGTGTGTATGTGTATGTTGCTGCTTGTCACAGAGGTTTGAATATTATTATTCATTTGCGATATTTTGCCCCGGGGTCCTGATTTAGAATGGAAAAGGCAAAGGTTGACATTAGTGTCTCGGTACTACAGGTTTATCGAGTAATATGTAAAAACGTTTAAAGGACAAGAAAGGGACATTTTCCTAAAACGCAACTGTTTCCTTTACTTTACCTGTTTTACTGGTGTACAGATTGTTACCACCCACTGTCATGTTACCAGTCCTTACTTCTTACAAGGGACGAGATCACACACTTCTCTGAAATGCCCGGGGAAAGAAACAAGCCTACCACCTAGCGGTGACACGAGAGGGCTACCATCGGTAGCATACGGCTACAGAAGTGTTAGGTACAGTTAGAGACAGCGGCTGTTTTTATTAGGCGATTTGCTCAGCCTTATTTGAATAACAAAATGCAATACGCAAATAGATAAACAGGAAATATGCATAGTAAATATATACGACATGCATTAATGCATTAAAGCACTAGTATAGCGGTCAAATGTAGATCTTATATGATTTTTTATTATTTTTTACTTATTATTTTTTCAATTGAAGATAACACATAAAAGACACACGGTGCATTATAAGGGCTTGCTCTTTTCAACAGCTCTTTGTGTTCATTCAGCTGTATTGGTAGCTAGAGGAAATCCCCGCAGTCCTCGGGTAAGGTAATGTACACGCTGGGCAGTTCTCTACACTGTAAAACCCAATAGTACAAGCTATATAAAATAGTTATAAATACTCAAAACCTCTTATATGATCACCATAAAATATTAGTGTCGTTTGAACGAAAACTTTAAGTAAAGTGCTTGATAATTTTAACTGTAATTTCAGCACTACGCACGTGCATAGCAGGTGATTTATGACGTCATGTGCGTCCCGTACGTGTCGCGACGAGCTCAGAATGTTGGAGTTAGCCATGCTGTCCACTAGCTTCGAAAAGTGGAGGTTGTTATTGAACATAAACGGGAGTAAACGCTACAGATAAATGGACACGTTTGTTACACCGAGCCTGGCTTGAAATCTTGCTAAAACGTTGGAGTTTGTGTTGCGATATTAAACTGGATGTCACGCTCGCCTACGTTATCTCTGCTGTTTGCGGTTACGGTGTTTGAGATCTTGGCTTCTCTTGTCTGGTAAGTTATTGCTTTATCCATTTGTTAGTTTGTGTATGAAAAATACGTATGTATTTGAAGGTAGTCTCAAAACGTGTATATTGTTTTTAATTTATGTTTGTCTTGTCTTTCTTATGTAATGGATACATACGCCACCTTTTTTGCAAATACAAACTAAATTGACAAGTTTTAACACGAATGGCTACTAACTACACATATAACCATGGTTTGGGATTGCAAACTTTGTGCGACATTATTTGACAAATGAGTACAGGCATTTAAGTACCGGTATTACAGCACAGGTGAGTTTCCTCAACCAACCCATTCCCATGTCTCTGACTTGGAGTTTGGAGACTCTTGTCTTCCTGTGCACCATGAGGTTTGAAGGCAAATATTGTTGTTGTTTTTTTTTTGTTTTTTTTTTAAGGGTGATACTAGATGCATCATTCATATTTCTACTCTTCCACAAGTGGTCAAAGACCGAACATGAAAAAGTCAAAATGTGTACAGCACACATAAGGTCTCCATAGATGCACTGATTATGTGATAGGAATGTTTG